CTCTCTCTCACTCTCTCTCTCTCTCTCTCTCTGTTAAATTTTATTTCAGCGATACAAAATTTCACCGATTTTGTTATCTGCAACGGTATTTTGTGGCTTTTCTTCAACAACATACCATGCAGTGTGTGTCTATGTGATGTGCACACGCGCACGCACACGCTTGTGATTGGTGTGCGCGTATCCAAGGATATTTCATATTTAGGCAATCTCAAACAAAACCAATATTTCATGTTGTTTATCTATTTCAACCGTGCATACGGCAAACATTTTATCTGTCGATCGAATTTCATTCGTTATCGACGCACACCGATATACACGGCTTTTTTTCTCTCTTTTGTGCCCGCCATGCAGTCTATCTATATCCTATAGCGACACGTCTCTATGAAGGCATTATTTTGATTCCTTTTTTTTCCCAAACCAACATCACTTCGATCTCGTGTGCATTGAAATATGCCGGAACGTCAAACACCAAATACCAATAATTATAACTGCGCGTTTACTTACATAATTCAATATTTATTTTTTGGGCATATGCTTCGAAAAAAAATAATATAATACCTTGCTCTCTAATTTCCCAGCGCACTGGCTGTCTCTCCCACTCTTCATCTCTCTCGCCCGTGTGCAGACAGCCACTGATTGAATTAAACGTGATTATGCTATAAAAGCATATATAACGTGTCACTCTGGACTTTTTTTTACTGCGTTGCCGTTTCAATGGAAAGCTTCAATCAACCAAAAATACACTTAAATTTCGACACATTTTTTGTGTTGCGTTGGCGGTAACTTAATAATTTCAAAGAGAAATGAAATGAATAAAAGACCAATGGAAAAAAAGAAAGCGGATCCGATTAGATTTTTATCGAATGTGTCAATAAATTTGATGAGAGGTAAATTAATGTGTGATTAATTTTAAATCAAGCGGCTGTCGCTGAGCACAATGTGCACGTTTGAACGACAAGCAAAATGACGAGCTACTTCATATTCACACCCATTAAATATCGATATGCCATATTCATGCCATAAAAATTGTCAAATATCATAAATGATAGAGAGCATTTGGTCGCACATCAAAACATATTCGCTTACATCAATCGCAGTAATGAACACTCAAAGTGGATTCTATTCTCGCTGTATGCTGTTACAGCTTTTTTATACTTGTTCCATCGAATATTCCAAATCATATTTATATCATGCACGAAACATTTTATTCTTTGCGGCTTACATGAACGATGCGTGATTAAGATTTGATGTGATAAAAGGCTGAAATCAAACTGGATGAAAGGAAGAAAGAAAGAAAGAAAGAAAAAAAAGTTTGGATGTTGATACTCGATATAGCGACACCTCTTTGAGATCATCGCTTTGATATTGTGCACACGTTTCGCTCAACACACGATCCAACAGCCAACAAGAAAGAAAGAACTTTGATATTAAATGTTTGACGAAGTGACGTTTGATAGGGAAAAAAAGAAAAGAAAACAGAAAACGAGACGTGAAGAACCGTTTTGTGCCGTTATCTCGATGAAAATTGTTCGATGGTGTTTGGAGCGTTTATGTGTTTTTGGATCCATCTGTCGATTTGATGCAATTGCCGTTAATAGCAACTTATGCAAGTTCAATAAAAAGATTTACTGACTTACAGAAATATGCACTTGACATTTTGCCCAATGTGCGATGACAGTAAACACACTTTCTCAGGCCATGCCAGTCAGCCAGTCAGCCAGCCAGCCAGCTGAACGGCCAAACGAGGCCCCGCGCAAGCCGCTTCTATTTTATTTATTTGTCAACAATAAAACATGAGTAAATTATTTTTTTATGACTTGGTGCGCCAACATCGTAAAGCTGGGAAATTTTTCACTTTAGCGCCGTGAAATCAAATGCCAATGCCAAAAGCGCACATTTTTTCCCGATTTTATTGCAGTCATCTGTGTATGGACACATATCAGAATAGACGATCGCATTTTAATGCTCACACACTCTCACAAAACGAGTGACAATGGTTCATCGATTCAAATGGAGATTAACAAGTCCAAAATGTGATAAGATGAACACTGTTGTTGTTGCTGTCGATTTTTTTTTATGGATTCCGTTGGAGCGATAAACATTTTCATTTGATGTTGTTTTATGATAGCGACGACTATATATTCCCATTTGATGGAAGGAACGGGGACATCATTTCATTTTCGCCAAACAAAACGGTGATCGAATTCATTTAGTCTTTAATGTTTTCGACAAGACGTTTTGGGCCATAACCGGTGATGCCTGCCGCCGATAAAAACTGATATTATCTTCATGAATGATGGAGGAAAACGGCGAATCGAATAGATAAAAACGAAATTATTGGGAAATCGTTACGTTTTGTTGGCCATTCTTTGGGCTTAATTATCGGTTGCAATGAAATTTCAATCCGTGTTTCTCAAGCAAGCAAAATGGCCAATCAAGTTGGCCACCGAGCCGTACCGAACAGTGGAATGCAAGCAAAAAGAAGAAGAAACCAAATAAAAGTCATGGATTTCCACGTGATTGGCGCACCAGTTGGATATCATCATTCATGCCAATTAGCCGCGGAAATGCATGTCGAAATCTTTGTGTTCAGACATTTCAATTGGCCATAAGTCATTAAATACTCGTATTTCAAGCCATTGATTCTGCACCATCAACAAGCACCGCGCGCACATTCGGCGCTACTTTTTCAACTTCTTCTTCTTCTCTTCGCGTTTCTTCAATTCGAAATTACAGTTCATTTCAACTCTTCAAACCGGATGATTAAACTCGAGTTTGTCACGGTGTATATCGAAAAACCGAAAGCAAGTGAGCAAGAGCAAGAGCGAAAGAGAGAGAGAGGGACAGAGAGGGAGGAGGAGAGGGAAGAAAGCGAAATAGTTTTCTGTTTGATATAAAAGTTTTAAGAGTTTTTCGCGTAAAAAGCGACCGCATCACTCCAGCTCTCGGAAACCGAACAAAGAGCCACCATCAAGATGATGCAGAAGAGCATACCTTCGGTATGTTTCGGTTTAGGTTTATGTTTTGGCCAATGCATTACCTCATTTTGGCCTTTGTCAAATGACTTGGATTTATTTCTCATACTGATTTACAGCACACAAATTGTGTTTCTTTCATATGAAAACTTTATCATCCGTTTGCTAGCTCGTTCTTTTTTCTTTGCTGTTGGCCAAAAACGGAACCGGGCACTTGTGTGTGTGTGTGTGTGTGTGTGTCGCTGTCGAGAAGGAATAAAAAAAAATAGAAACAAGAACGAAAAGCCCGAGACTTTTTCAAGTGAAAAGGTTCGTTGCGTACAACATTCAAAAAGCATTGAGTTTTAATATTTCGTATGCGTTGAAGAAACTACATGAAAAATCATTTCGTCGACCAAGTGAAACGAATGAAAACTCATTTCTTTCATTCATTTTGCCCACTCTCTCTCTCTCTCTCTCCACGCAATGACCATATACTTTCGTTGCTATTCAACTGAAAGCGCACTGAACAGAAAGAAAAGAAAAACTTGCACAGGAAACTTTTATCATAAAGTTTTTCGACTTTGGATATCGGTATGTGCCTCATTTTTCCTCTTTAAATGCTTTCGCTCTCTCTCTCTCTCTCAACGCAGTGAGAAAAAATGCGCACCGAGTAAGAGTGAAAGAAAAAAAAAGAATCTTTTCAAAACCAAATATTACACGATGAATGGGAATATGAAACGGAACGAAATGAATCGAAATTGTAACTAAAAGTGTAATGGTGAAGGAAAATCCATCAGCTAATTACGATTTTATGGACTGATCTGGGTATTCACACCGATGGACGGGCCAATGTACGGAATAACCTGTGTCCAAACGGAATACAGTAACTCTGTTTGAGAGGAGGAGGGAGAGGAAAAGCCAAGGCTTTGAAACATCTCTGCATTGAAATGGCGAGATATTTTATTTCATTTATAACTTCCTCCCGACAAATGGGCTACACCGGTGTAAGCAAAGAAATGTCTCGTCTCGTCCAATAAAAAAAAAACACCCACCGACGCTGGGTCTTGTGTTTAAATTTTTGACGAATCGGATGGTTTTCATTACTCAAATGTGTGTGTGTGTGTGTGTGTGTGTGTGTGTGTGTGTGTGTGTCTGTGTTGGGTTTCACTGTGCAATTTTTTTTTGAACGCACGTTGTGGCGCCGCGATTGTATTGTTGTCGTTTGAATTGTTCGAATGCGGGGAGAGTTTCTCGCTGCATGTTTATGCACATTTTTATACCTTTTGGTTGTCTCGTAAAGTCGTGCAAGCGTAAAATAGATTGATGAAAAATACGTCATAAAGCAAAAGCATTGGCTATGAACAGCAGAAACGGGCCAGAAAAAAAATTATGCATTTGCGATTATTTTCGGGCCCAATATACAGAGTTCTACGGGATTTTGCAGTCTGTAGGTCTCCATAGCTTGCAATTTCGGATCATTTGTATTTACTCTGATATGAAAAATCAAAATTGCGAGAAGAAAAAAACTTTTGGCAAAAAATGCATGTGAAACCAAACCAATGCATAGCCATTTTGTTTATTAAATTCATGGTTGATAGCAAAATAAAAAGCAGCGCTTAACCAGGTACATGCCCGCACCACAGCATACGCACGTGCGAAACAAAAAAGTACCCGCTCGCTCTCCATCTCGCAGCTAGCGATTGTAAATCGCATTAAATGACATGAACCATAAATACTTTTGTCCAACACAGAATATTTTAATTAAATGGAAAAATGTGATTAAAATATTCGTGTTTGTGATTGTGTCGGCACAGATATTTGTACAACTGAGAGCTGATTTATCGCATTCCATTACTTTGATTTTACCATGTTTGCCTGATGAGCTGTTTTTTTTCGGGGGGAAAGCATATTTTCTTGCATAACAGTGACACTGTAAATTGTAAAATTGTACACTTTGTGTGCATGTTCAATGTTTTCGTGAATGTATGTTTTCAATCATTAATTTTTAATACATATCAATTATTTGTTTTTGTTTCGTTTCAGAAATGCAACCCGAATATTTCCATGATCCTGATAAAAAGGCAACGATACAATTTCAACCGGATTTGACGCGAAATAATATCACGGCTAATTATGATTACCCACCATTAAATTCACATCATCATGGACTTTTGCCAAGTTTAGCAAATGGTGGCAGCAATGCTGGCAGCGTCACCGGAACCATTGTCCAAAGTATACCGCTACAGATACCCAGATCGATATCCGAACATCATTATGATGTGCCGCATCTAGCCAATAAGTAAGTTGTAAAGAGAACGAAAGAAGAAATAACATGAAGAAAATTCCAAAAACGTCTGCTAATTCATTTGTAATACGGAAGACGCATTTCAAAACCAATCATTTCTAAGAAGGCGCCTTTTGAATATTTAAAATTGAAAGAAGAAAAAAAACGCACCCAAACAATGAACGAGAGAAAGAGAGCGACAGAGAGAAAGCCAAAGTCTTGCATTTATGTGCACCCTCAATAATTCAGTGGCTTTTACCCTGTAATTTACTGAATAATACAATCAAAGCAATAATAATTGACGGCTATTGAACCAATTGCTTTGTACGAATTCATATTGCACATCAATTCGACCGAACCACATACAGAGATTCAGTGGCGGTGGAATCGGCGTCGGCTGAGTTGGCCAATATGAAAATTTTATTATATGTACATACATTTGTATCCATTGCCAAAGCTGCTATCTAATGGAAACAGATGAATATTTCAACATTCTCAACTTATTTCAAATACCAAGTAAGACATACAATGAGTATCCGTCGCTCCCTCTCTCACTCTCACACACATATAGAGACACTATCATTTTCAACTCAAATACGTGTGGGTTTCATTGAATATTGTTTTCAGACGGGTAAATATTCAAGAAGTGCATAAAATAGTCAAATGGCTTGCCATAATTCACAGTCTCATTGGTTTAATATTTTTCGGTTTTAATATGATATTTTCACCCTCTAGCTATGCAACGCCAATGGATAAAGTCAGCGGAAATGATTCATACAGCTCGTCAAACTATTCAAAACGGATTCACAGCACCGACTCGCTCGCAACCACCACCAATACTTGTAAGTTTTCACCGAAATGCCTAGCCGCACACACAGACACACACATAAGAAATCCATAAAAATCCATTCAAAATTTCATCGTCGTTTTTTATCCCATGTTTAAATTCGACACTCTTTGATTCCGTTTCATTAAACTAACGCTTGTGTTTTATTCTCTCTGTCCATTTTACAGCCGATTCAACGTATGATGTTGCAACCGAACCGCCAACACTGCCAATGTCTCATAAAAATTTCCCCAAATCGAACACGGTGCGCCAATTAGTGGCGTCAGCTGGTGCATATTTGAAATTGAATAGTGCGAATGTGGCGTTATCGATTCCGGAGCTGGCTGTTGGAAAAAACCAAAAACACAGTATCTTTTTATCAGTATTACATGAGGACAGTATTCGTGCATGCATACCCGAAGTGTGTTCGCATATCTCGCCAATTGTGCACTGCGGCCCCATGGACATTAACATAAATAAGCCCGTTGTATTGCGTGTACCACATTGCGCGGAGAATCTCGATCAATGGCGCATATCGTTGTACCATTCAAATGCTCACATACAGGAAATCGAACCAAAGTGGCGAAAAATCGTTACACTGGGCGAAGAAACGATTAATACACCCGCCTATGTACAAATGGATGAAAAGTATGCGTACATAATGACGGAATTTTTGGGACGATTCGTTTTGGTGGGTGAATCGTTGATCAGTGGGATGCGTGCGGTAAAACGGCTCAAACTGTTCCTATTCGGGCCATCGATACAGCCAAATAGTGATTGCAACATAAGGGTATATGTTATCGAAGATTTTCCAAGTTCAAAAGATTATTGTGCCAGCTTGGAGAATCGTTTGGGCGGCACATTCTTGGGTCAAAGTGCACCGCTTACGTTCCAAGACAATGGCCAAGATTTAAATCTCAATCTGAAATGTATCGGACGATGGCGTGCAAAGGCCGGCACCGAGAGTCAGAAAATACCATTTTCCCATGTATGGAACAATAGTTTTGCGTTACATTGTGCGTTTGCATTGCAACGAGTCGTTGACCATGATAATAATGCAACTAATTCGACGGGCCTAAAATTGGAGGTAATTGCACGGCAGAGACAGGGTGGCGAAGTGATTGCAACGCATATTGCACCGTTTTGCACATTGCCAATAGATACGCTCAGCGTCATCGATGAATACAGTGATAATTCATTGCGTAGTGTTACCATTTCGGAGAAAGGGGTCACCGCGTGCATACAGGCCGGCGGTGATAGTGAACAGACCGCATTTAAACTGACGCGTCAAGCGAAACGTGAACTATGTGCCTGTTTGGATCCGCCAACGTCTCGAGGTAATGACTGGCGTATGCTAGCCCAACGCCTCAAAGTCGATCGATACATTGCATTTTTCGCAACAAAACCATCGCCCACCGAACAAATACTCGATTTGTGGGAATGTAAATGCCGCGATTCGAACGCGCTGGCCGAATTGTCTGGCACATTGCGCAGCATGGGAAGAAACGATGCGGTTGATATTCTCGAAAAAACACTAGGGCCATTATGGCTATAAATCCGTTTTTGTGTGCACCACCACCACCAGCAGCAGCAGTTTGGAGTGCAAATTCCATTGGGATGCGAAACATGCACCAATAAAAATGAAATTCATTGTAAAACCGTGTGATTTAGTGGAGAGGAAGTTTGTGCATTGCAAACGAACCAAACACAACAACAATACTGACTACAAAAAAACGAAGAAGAAAGATTTAGAACAAAAATCGAAATAAAAAAAAACACACAAAAACCATATTAACTGAATACAAAAGATGTAACGGATGAAATAACAGCACGTTTATGTACTAATCAATGATATCGATTTGTAAATGTAAAATGTATAACAGTAGTTCGATAATAATTGGATAGTTAAGTGTAAAGAGAAAAAAAACTGGCGAGAAAATGCCCAATTTTTTTTATTAAAGTAGAGTAGCAACTATGTGTTTATTTATGTAGCGGTAATAAATAGACACCAATTCATCTGCAGAGGGTGAGCGGCCCACTTGAGTGGCGGCGCTGTTATTCTCTGCTCTCGTATTCATTTTATTTTTTTAAGAAAGGGAAAAAAAAACAAAAACAAACAACCAAAACAACAGCAACAACAAGAACGGAATCAAATTCTGTGCGAAGTTCGTTGACAATTTTTTTCGATACGCATTGCACCCATCCAAATAGTCAAGTGCATGTATTACTGATAGATGGAAAAAATTGCTTTAGTTGTTATACATACGGAAAATGTTATCGACATTATCAGCAAAGAAAAAAGAAACAAAAATAATTAAAGAAGACGCGCGCGTAAAGCGAGCGGAAGAAAAAAATTTTAAGTGCATTTAACCGTTTAACATTTGTTTTCATTGAAAGAGGAGAATTTATCTAAATATATGAGAAATTTTGTTTAACAAAAAAAAATGAAGAGAAAAAAAGAGTATCTTAAGCGAAGAAGTGAGCAGGGGAATGAGTCATTGCAATTACAATAACGCACTGAGTTTCGTAGTGTCGATAACGGCAACGGCCAAATGCAAAGACCGAATCAATACGAATTGATTTGAACAAAAGCAGACAAAAAAGTAATGAATGATTCTTGTAGTCAATTGTGAGCACACTACGAGACGGTCTGATTCCAATAATAGCACACGCGAAATAGAACCAATATTTATTTATCACTGAACATGAATGTATACTCAACAATTAGTCGTCGCTTTGGATGAAAATGAACGAAAAAAAAAGACAAAACACACAAAATGAAGCGTGGCATTTGAAAGTACACGGAACAGATACGCGACTATGATTGACATAGCAAAGAAAAAGCAAGCAAACACATAGAGAAGAAGAGCCAACAACGAAAATCAATTAAAAGACGTTTTAAAAGCAACCAACTGCAATGAGTGTGTCAGAGAAGCGAATATGAGTTCATTAGAATTCGATAACAGCAGCAACGGAAATGCAAACCAATCACACACACACACACACACACACACACACAAAACCCCCTTTTTTTGATAGTAAACATTTATCAGACGATAAACATTTATTCTTTCATAATTTGTGTGTACGCGTTTTTTTTTATTATTATTTTCTTGATGAACGCAGTGAATAGGAACCAGATTAGGTTTATCACCACTAGGTTTATTTATTATACATTTTCTTTATCGCCGTTCATATGCAAGTGTATCGAAAAAATAACATAATCAAAAACGGATTTTCATTAAATGCCGAATCATCGACACACCGCTTTATTTATTTTACTCTCTATCGATCGCCACGTGTGCACTGCTCAAATCACACTGCGATTTAATATAAATTGACACTTTATTATTACAATAGATATTACCACATTAAAAGCCGATTACAACTCAGTCTCACAAAATGCAACCAATCGAATGGATAGAGGAAAAGAGAGAATAATTTTGACTATGCTTATGTTCAATCAATTTTTCTCTTTTCATTCTTTTTCTGTTCGACAAACGAAACGTCTTATTGTGTAATTTTAGTTTATAACATGATTTTGTTCTACATTTAGTGGATGATAATAATTTTCATAGTGATTTTAGATCGATAGCAACAATTTTTATACTTTATTTTTTTCTTCGTTTTAAATCGCATTTTTCAACAATACCAATCGCGTTCGCGCTCACATAATAATATATATCGAATTAGCTAGCTCATTTTTTTTCCATTCTCTATCATTGTTGTCATACAAACGTAATTTGATTATTTGCTGCACACAATAGTTAGACGGGATTTGTTACTCGGATCTATGTTGTGAATTGCAAGTTGCATGATTTTCAACTACAATTTCATTAAATCTGGCAATTGAAAATATGCACGCGATCGTCTTTTGAACAAACAAAAAATTGACAAATGTTTGACCCAATTCTTTTGCGGTTTCACCGTTGTGATTGCGCATACCAATGATGGTGATTTGATTTGATGTTTGTATCACGAAAGTACCGACACATGTTTTTTTTTCATCATTCATTTTTCATACACTCAATTTATTTTTTTTATATTTTGGAATTGTTTTTTTGATTATTTTTTTTTTTAATTTGGTTACTGGTTTCAGAATTTTTTGTACAATTTAATGTTGAAAAATTAAAAAAAAAAGAAAATATTTTGAGGAAAAGGGTTTAAAAATTATTTAAATGTGCCAAAAATGCCGTTTTTTCACCACCATCATCGTATCGCCAATCACAACGCATCGAATACTCAGAAACAACATTTCAAGATCATTGCATTTATTTTTTTTTAAATTTTTGAATCAATTTTGTCTGCCTGAGAGACTAAACGTGAATTTATAGAATAGCAACTATTCGTTTGTTTTCTTTTTTAAAACCATATAAACATGACAACTGCTACGCAAATACTAGCTAACCAATTTAATGTTCTTTATTTTGCTTGAATAAAGCCGTATACACTTCGCAATTACTGCCATAATTCGATTTTCACATACTGAAATTAAGAATGTTGTCATCAGCGCTAATCGTTCGTTTCTTTATTGTTTCCATCGTAAATATAGATTCTGAAGACTTTTGCAAAATAAGAAACAAACAAAAATGCGAATGAAACATTCAAGAAAATTTGCAAATGAACTGTTGTCGCGTGAAATACGACAAAACAAAAATATCAGTAGAAACACGTTTGAAACAGAGAGAAATCGCAAACAAAATGCAAGTTAGAATCTATAATATTCGTAGTTTTGATACAATGGGCTATAGAAATCGCATTAAGTGTAAATGTAATTCATTGAAGACAAAAAGAGAAGAAAAAACAAACAAACAAACAAACATAAGTAAAAAAATAATTGTAATAAATTCTCTTGAAACAATCAGTTTGCATTTAATTAATTTAGTGTGGTTGCACTTCACGTGAAAATCCTTGGTCGTTACTATTATTTTTCCCTTTAATTTCATCACATATTTTTGTAGCCACTTGAAGTGTTAACCCACTAGAATAATTTTTCATAATTTTTTATTTTCGTTATTACCGAAATATGCGTTCAAATTCCGAAGAAAAAAAATTTACATTTTAAGACAAAACAAAAATCATCATCTATTTTTATTGAGGGTAATTCAAAAGAAAAAAAATCTCAAATAATCGGACGCATTTTATTTGATGAAGAAATAAAATTGATTGGATAAACAAACAATTACCTAATGAAAAATTGTAAATAGACGTTAGTTAAGAATTATAAGAGAAACAGATAAAAATTCAGAGTAACATAAATGAAAATGAAGAGAAGAAGAAAAAAAAGCAAACAACACAACAAATAGACAAAGTGGAAATATTATCGTACCAGATCCCTAAATATATTATATGCGAATCATCGTATTGATTAGTATTTTAGAAACCAGGAAACAACAAAAAAAATGTTAAGGTATTTATGATATATATAGATATATATTACAAAAATAAAGCAAACAAAACCGCTGCTACTTAAAAACATGTCTGTGTTTTTATTTTATTGGCTTAGGTAAAGCATCACATTTGTTTCTTGGCAATTGGCACTGACAATTTAAAGGTAAAGCTATGTTAAGCAATTATTCTCTGGTGTGGTTGAACTGGGACCGGGATTTTCTTCACTGGGAGTAGCTAATTCGTTACTCGATTGTGAAGTCGCTTCTTCTTTGTCATCTTTTCCTTCAACGTCATCATCTTTTTCTTTGCCTTCATCATGTGATTCTTTACTTTCATCATCCACTTCAGTCACATCTTCACTATCTTTATCTCCCGTATCGTTGAAATCTTGTGGTATTTCGATGCAATATTCCATGTACGGTTGTTTGTGCATGCGACTCCATCGAAGGCTGATTTCTGGATCGAGACACTTTCGAAATACCATGCAGGTGATATGTTCCAGTTTTTCAATTTTGATGCGGCCCAATCCAAGCTGTGCCAGAGCATAGCGCCATGTTTTCATCAGCTTCACATTACAACCCATATGTTTTGAGTCTGGCGTGATGATACAGAGTATTCCTTCGTCCGTTAAAAGTTTACAGGCTTTTTCGCAGCATTTCAATCTTTGCTCAGAGGTGGGTAAGTATTCCAGCAATAGGCTAAATACAACAACATCATAGCTATTAATACGTAATTTACTTAAAATCTGTGATTTACTATCGTTGCTCGATGTTTCGATACTATCACCCAGTTCAACATTCAAAAAATCGCATTCGAACACCTCTTCAATTGCTGGTGCAATATCAACGGCGGTCACTTCAAATTCAGGAAACGGTTTAAATGGATTATAACAACTGCCAACGTCAAGTAATTTGATTTTTTCTACTGGCACTTGTCTTGCTGCAATCACTCGATTCATTTCCGTGCAATCAATTTGGAGTTCATCCAAAAGTCGCAGTTCACGTTGTCTTATTTTTGTTATCAGATCTTCGCTCAGAAAATATTCACGACAATAATTGACTGTCCATGCGATTCGGCTGCGCTGTTGAGCCTTGGAATTGGCTTCTTCTTTCTTGCGATCATTCAATTCCCAGTGATTCATCGCCAATTCCTTCATTGCTTTCGCATAGCTTTGCAGCTTTGATTTAGCCTGCAAATGCTCTTGCCATGCTCGTTTCGTACCCAATTTTTTCGTTTTTTGTCGCAACGTCGAATGCAACGCTTTAATTTCACTTGACAACTTCAAATGATCCGCACTCGCCGCTGTTTTCATGGTGATTGATTACAATCTATGCGTCAAATTTACGCGATTTTAATTACTATTTGTGATTGCGATGCGATTCGTTATTTACAAAAACATGTTGTTTCCTTTCGTTAATCGACTGAAACGTCACAATGACACTTGACAGACACACACAGTGCGGATGGAATTGATATGAATGGGTAGTCGGTTGCAATTGGCACAATGTGCCGGAAATAAGACAAATTTTCTGAATAAAAAAGTATATTAAATTAATAATTAAAATTCATTTGTAAATTATAGCAAAGAAAAGTGTTAAAAATAGCGAAAAAACCTATTCATACGTGTATTTTCTCGAAATAGTTCCAAAAAATATGCAAGTGCCATCTTTTGGCAAGAGCTCAAAGCGTTGCTGAATTCTCTCGAAACTCTCGATGTTCCCGATTGCTGAACTATATCTGCGATTGACAGTTTGAATCGTTTGAGAAACAACACACGTTTGAATGTGAGCACACATTCACAACCATACCACCGCATTGGGGTTCAGTCTCATGCTTCGTTTCGCTCACTTACACACTCAGCGATGTAACCAGCACTGTTGTTGTCTCGTTCTAAATACGTTAAAAATAAAAAAAAACAGTGGCCATATTGACTGTGTGTGCGACTGTGTATTAGAGTGATTTGTTTGGATGATGCGTATGTTTACAGGCCGAATAGAGAGAGAGAAAAATAGCTGGTTCTTTTTTTTTGTGTATCGGTTAGTGTATGGTTTTTTTTTCGTGTGTTGTTTCTGTGAAAGAAAAAGATTCATCACTGGAGAAATAAAATGCAGCAGCACTAGCAGCACGATACGGATTTTTACACTGACATAAAGCCAACCCAGCAAACATTAAAATTCAAGCGAAATGCTTGACGAACAGAAAAAATAAAACGAAATAATGTGAAAATGTTTTGTTAAAAGTGAATAATCGAAGAGAAAAAAACGAATATAAAAACAACAACGGCGAAGAAGCGAGAGAATTCAACAGACGAATAGTTCTCAATTGCAATTAGCGATTGGGCATGGATTTGGATCTGAAAAGTGCATCGTCTTTGTTGTTTGTGGCTGGCGTTTGTGTGTGCGAGCGTATGTTTTTGTGTCATTTCTTGTTCGGCTCAGTTACAATAATAATCTGAATGAACCAGCGTATAGGTTTTTTTTCTGTGTGTTCTGTCTCTTGTGTATTGTGTTCAAAGTGAAATAATCTACTCAAACTTTTTGTGGAGTATCAAAAAAAAAGGAGTAGCAGTAGCAGCAGTGGCAAAAACTAACGACGGGCTCTCATCGACATCGAACCAACCCGCCCAAAAGACCGAAAAACCCATTCGAACAAAAAGCAAAAACATTTAATTAGTCCCCTCGTACAAAAAGAAAAACAACAACAAAGATGTCGTCATTATCCACGAGTGTTGAACATTTAGCTAGTAATAACGATTCACAGGTATGCAATCCAACCAAATTAATGCTCAGTACGTATTTCTGTGAAATGCGTGCGACTGTGTGTCATGCAATGTAATTGTAAATGTTGGAATTTTTCAATGAATTTTTTTTGGATTCGTCGGAATTTAGGAGTGTTGCAAACAAAATCATCTAGTCTGGTCGATCTATGTTATGTATCATCGGTGCTTTTTACTTGTTTCTTCTCTCGTTCTCTCTCTCTCTCTTTTCATCGGTGTGATACGGAACTGTGTCAGACGACAACGACACGATGATGTATCTTGCATAAATCTGTGACATTTTTCTCTCATTCATTCATTCCATCTCATTCATATCCGACATCGAAAACGGAACTATATCTTCATAGTTCTCTAGGAAAGTAGGTTGTTGTTTATATCATTCAAGCGACTGTGATACATTTTTCATTTCTTTTTTGCTCATACTCTTTTTCTTCTCTCTTCATTTTTGTCTCGTCGTTGTCGTTTCAAACGAGCGGTTAACTATGCTGCGACTTAGCAAGTTGAATGTGCAAACGTCACACATTTTTTAACTTGTTCAATGAATCAACCGATTGACTAATTAAAATACTTCAATCAACGTTAAATTCAACGCACACACGCGTACATGAGTCCAGTGAGTGTGAATTGCGTTCACCGCAAACGGCATATATACACACTCCGTACGATGAATTTAGCCGAAGAGAACCGTATGTGAAATTTAAAATCATACTTTAAATGACTTGAATGACTCATAGCACTTGGACTATGAATGCCGTCTGTTTCATGTCTTTCGTACGCACTTCATGGGGCCGCCATGCTTGTGCCTGTGTGTGATTGTTTTTATATTACATTTTGAAACGCGTCTTGTCTATACACCAACACATACATACGCGAACTGTGTGCTCTACGGGGCATTCGGAAAGCAAACACGGGAAATTGATAAAATTATTTCATTTTTCTTAATGATAAGGTCTAATAATAAGTATACGTTCCGTGAAATGCATCAACTTTGAGAAATTGATTCGAATCGGTGTGAATGACTGAGTTCATTGGAAAGATCGAAATGTAACGGAAATGAATTTGCATAGACCGTTGCTTTTGATCTCATTTTGAAGCCACGTTGAACTGATTGAATCGAATTACAACTTGGATATGATTCATCCGATTATGTAAATTGACTATGGCAATTTATTTAACGTTTGAATATAATATGACCGAATTTTCCCTTTTGAATTCCAGACCAACGATGGATCATCAATGTGTCTGGAGCTTGCTTTGGAAGGTGAACGTCTGTGCAAATCTGGCGATTGTAATGCGGGTGTTGCATTTTTTCAAGTGAGTACCAAATTCGGCTCAAACATTTCCATAGTCAAATGTCCCTTTTCAACACACTCAAATTCCGTTTTTATTCACACAGGCTGCCATACAGGCTGGAACCGATGATCTTCGAACTTTGAGTGCCATATACAGTCAACTGGGGAATGCATACTTCTATTTAAATGACTATACAAAAGCGATGCATTATCACAAATTAGATCTAACGTTGGCCCGTTCCATGGAGGATAAACTGGGTGAAGCTAAATCATCTGGCAATCTTGGAAATACGCTAAAGGTGATGGGTCGCTTTGATGAAGCAGCCATATGTTGTGAACGTCATTTGACGCTAGCGAGACAGTTGGGCGATCGATTGTCTGAGGGACGTGCACTTTACAATTTGGGCAATGTATACCATGCTAAAGGAAAGCACATGGGCCAATCAGATCCTGGAGATTTTTCGGACGAAGTCAAGGAATCGCTGATCAAAGCCGTTGACTTTTATCAACAGAATCTAGCTCTGATGAAAGAACTGGGCGATCGTGGAGCACAAGGACGTGCTTGTGGTAATTTAGGAAATACCTATTATTTGCTTGGTGATTTCGAAGCTGCGATTCAGCATCATCAAGAGCGTTTGAGCATTGCCAGAGAGTTTGGTGACAAGCCGGCCGAACGACGAGCCAACAGCAATTTGGGCAATTCACACATTTTCCTTGGACAATTCGAAGAGGCTGCTGAGCATTACAAGTATGTTGGGTTTTACATTAGAACATTTCTTCGAAAGAGCGAAACACACGCATCGTTGAAATGAATTTTTTTTTCGAATATTGTTTCGAAAATATTAATCAAACGCATTTTACAGACGGACACTAGCACTAGCCATCGATTTGGGTGAACGTGCTGTTGAAGCGCAAGCTTGTTACAGTCTTGGTAACACATACACATTGCTGCGTGACTTCCCGGTCGCTATTGAATACCACCAACGTCATTTGACGATTGCACAAGAGCTCGGCGACAAAGTGGGTGAGGCAAGAGCGTGCTGGAGTCTGGGCAATGCACATTCATCGATTGGAAACCACGATAAGGCGTTGAGTTTTGCACAACAACATTATGGTCTCGCAAAAGACGTAAGCAAATGTTGCAACTTCACAGCAGCTATACTATTTTCTCTCTCGTCCTCGTTTAATATTAATTTATTGATTCAATTTGAAATAGTTGGGCGATTCAATTGGAGAAGCCACAGCCAGAATGAATGTGTCGGATTTGCGAAAGGTGCTTGGCATGCCGGATCTTCCATCGGACGACGAATCAACTGATAATAACGATGTCACAAATCAATCGATGAAAAATGCAAGCGCAGCTCAGGGCAACAATACAACACGAGACAGTAGCTCAAGGCAAATTCGGGTACGGCGTCAAAGCATGGAACAATTGGATTTGATTAAGGTTTTTCTTTCGTTTGATTTTTTTTCTGTTCCTTCAACACCTCTTTGTTTGTTTCGTTTTGTTTTTGAGTGTTTGTCTTTCAGTTGGTTTTTATTCTTTTGAGTTCAAAAACTGTTGTTATTAAACTGAATCCCAAAAAAAGTGTTCGTTGCTTACAAAATTAGTAGTAACATTGGAGTGTTTTCATTGACATGATAAAATGACTAATTAATTACCATTTGTACAGTTGACACCGGACGGTAAACGTAACATCACAAATCCACACAACAAGGGCGATGCACAAACAAATGAGAACAATGCAAATATTCCAGTGGCGCCAGCACCAAAAGCCACCGAAGAAGACTTCTTCGACATGCTGACACGAACACAAAGCAAACGAATGGATGATCAACGGTGTTCATTGAAGGTGATTGGTCATTCACAGTCCACCACCAGCCGAGAGCCACCCATTCGAAAGCCCTTGGTGCAACAAAACAGTTTGCCAGCTGTCCCATCGACGCCACAATCAACGAAAGAGAATCGAAATGCTCTGCTTGAAATGATTGCCGATTTACAGTCGGAACGAATGGACGAACAACGTGCTCAGTTGCCGACACTACCAGGTCTTGTGCCGTCACCACAAAATCAGAACACACGACGCAATCTATTGAACAATCAACAAGCAACGCAACGAAATACAAGCGGTTCGGCAAGTGAACCAGCACCAGACGATGCATTCCTCGATATGTTGATGCGATGCCAAGGCTCACGTCTCGAAGAACAACGATCGGAATTGCCCCGCACAAATGTCACATTGGATATGGAACAAGGTGAACCACCAAATAATAATCGCCGAAATTGTGTCAACAATAACACAAACAATGCCGGCGCAACCGTACCTGATGAAGACTTTTTCTCGCTGATTATGCGAGTGCAGGGCGGCCGGATGGAAGATCAACGTGCAGCCGTAAGTCAATCGAATTCAAATTTTTTAAAAAAATCCAATTATCGATTCTCAATCAACGGTCTTGTTGATTATTTGCCAAGAATTGAAACCATTCACGTTCATTCGGATTTTTTTTTTGTTGGCATTTTTTGCTTGCCTTTTCACATTTTACCTTTTGTTCCTCTCATATTGCAGGTGCCATTCAACTTGAACCGAACAAATAATATACGTTCAGCACTGAACGCAGACAATAACGCGGTCGGATCAAGAAAAGCAAAATAGATTATTTTTAAGCTTAACAAGAACAAAAATGTCTTCGCAAATTTCTATAAAACTGATTCTATTTACTCAAATAATAATCGTCACAAAGCTAATGCAGTATACAATTTCAGAACAATTTATTTCCTTTTTTTTAATTTTTATTTCATTCTAATTCATTGAAGATTTTATTCAATCGCACTAGAATTTATAATTAAAACATACAATCACATATATTTTAGTTCATTCAAGAAAAAAGAGAAAAAAAAAACGAAACCATGTATAAATAATATATATGATGTAATTGTGTTTGCTGAGTAGAAAACTTGTAATTTTTTTAAATAATTAAAACAAAATGCCTTCGAAATGTTATTGTAAACGAAGGCCGTCAGATAGAGAGAATAAATATTGAGCAAAAGCGAACAAATTTTCATTAAATTGGTACAAAATCTAAACTATAAAGAATTTTTATGAAGAAAAAGAACAACAACAAACACACACACACACACAAAATAAGATTTATTTTTAAACACCAACTACAAAGAGAAATAACAAATTATTTAACAAAGAATTATATCTATATGAATTTTTAAATTGAAACTACGAACACTAAAACAAAAATAAGAAAACATGATTTTATTCGATGGAAGGAACAATTAACTGCAATTGCAGCAGCTAACGTTATTTTATGGAAATTGTGTAATTTTATGCTCTTGAAGGATATGTGTTCATTTAAAGTCAAAGCCAAATTTTGACGCATCTCACATATTTTCGTTCGTTCAGTGTAATTTTATGCTGAGCTTTGAACTTCATTTCATCAACGTCCACCCAATGAAACATGATTATTATCATTTTTATAGCAACAATGTATACTGAAATGTATACTGAAATATAAACCAATTTTTTTTTTAAATAGAATTGCCAAATTCATTTCGAATATTAATCTAATCTCAACTCACATTTTTTAAAATTAGTCTTTTTCTTTCAGAATATCATTCATTTCAATCAATAAGAACATTTATTCAAAGTTTTTATAATCATTTTTTGATCATGACATACTTTACATCAACAAATTTAATATCGACTTTGCTCAGAGATTTCATATAAAAAAAAAACAGAAAAACATTTTGGGCAATACTAGTAAAATTGCCACCGTTTTTTGAATGACTCCATTAGTTAGTTATTGCAGTAGAATGGATCGAGAAGAACATAACTAGTTTTTTTGTGACCATTCATTTTTAAATATCAAAAATGATTCACATCATATACTTTAAGAGCATAATCAAATCTCCATAGGATTTTTCTGGTCAGAAATTGTGCTGTTGAAATTGTACACGTAGAATTTACAATTTTTGAACATCATTTCAGTTACCTTCCACAATGTTATATGCACTTAAGCACATTTTAACATAAACGTCAATGATTTCCAAATAGTACTCGGTCCAAAATACCCAATGACACAAACAAATAGTCGAATAGAGTGGCGTCGTTTGTCTCTTTTATGGACCATTCGATACTTTCAATATGGACACGTTGGACAAATCATGCAAAAGATGAACTTTGGTACAACTACAAAGAATAAATAAAGAAATTCCTATGAAATCTGTTTGAATTATTTTTCATGTCATAAATTATTCAGGAAATATTTTTTTAGAATCTTTCAAATCAGTCTCATATGCATTCTTCAATGATTTGGACAAAGATGGAGACCATTATAAATATTCTACGTTTGGATTTAGCCGACGATACGAAGATGTACATCTATAATCAAAAAAGATGGTGAGAATAAATCTATGGATTTGTACGGTTTACTCATAAATGAAATAGGCACAGAAAAAAGCCTACATTCTTGCGATATTCATGGACGTAAACTTGATTCCAATGGCAACATAGTTGATTGGTGGTCATCCGAATCTTTAGCGAATTTCTTGGAAAAAGCCCAATGCATCATAGAACAATACGGAAATTTCACTGAACATTCGACTGGGTTGAAAGTAAGGAGATATCATTTATTGAGTTTTTTTCTTCGTAACGTGAGTATTTTTATTTCATTGCAATTTGTTGAATGGTAGAAAAACGGTAGCAGAGAACATCGCTGACATTGGCGGTACCAAGTTGTCATATCATACTTATTAAAATTGGGCGAAAGAAAATGAACCGGAACCAAAATTGCCTGGTTTGGAATATACTCCACAGCAAATGTTCTGGATCTCAGCAGCACAGACTTTTTGCATAGTCCTTACACCAGGTTAATAACATCAAACTATTCATACTTCGAATTGATTTTTTAACAATAAGAAAAAAAAAACAGTTTCTGAACATTTGTTCCAATTCATTCTGTAGAAACAATGGAAAGTTTAATCAAATTTAAAGTACATTCACCCGACTCATTCCGTGCGTTCGGAGCGTTCGGAGCGTTCGGAGCGTTCGGAGCGTTCAGAAATCTGCCGGAATTCGCCAATGATTTCAGTTGCCATGAAGGCTCACCAATGAACCCGGCTAAGAAATGTGAATTTTGGTAGCCAATTATACACTGTACTGGAAAGTCAGAACTTTAACTTTCTAATTTTTTGCATCTGATTTAACTATTAATTCAATTAATCTTATTTGAATAAAAGCAAAACAACAATGTGTCTCCCATAATTTTTTTCAACGTGTTAATGGGAATGAAAGAGATATAAGATGGATGTTTATTGCAATGTTTTAGTTTACAAGATCTTTATTTTTGCTTGAGACACTTGCCTCCAATTTCTTGCCAGGAACACAAAAAGGATTTGCTCGTAAACATAGCTAATCCCATTTTTCAAACACAAATATTTAATTGAACATGGAAATATTTTCAGGTGAACTCTTTTGCAGACATTCCGTATGGCTGCATATTGAGCTGAGCTATTTACAAATAGCTGGTTGTTTGGTACATTTTGATTTTGTGACTATCGAGCCATGCAAATTCATGTGAGATGATAAATTTTGGACACCTTTTTCCATCCTTTCCATGAATTTTTGTCATAAATTTATCATCTCACATGAATTTACATGGTTCGATAGTCACAAAATCAAAATTTACCAAACAGCCAGCTATTTGTAAATAGCTCAGCTCAATATGCAGCCATACGGAATGTCTGCTTGCATGATGTTCCATACTCCCCAACGACATTCAAATATATGGCCAAACAGATTTCTCGATTTGAGCAATTGAATGGGCTCATTTCCTATCCGAATCAACCTATTTTATCTAATTTCCATGAGCCATTGCTTACTTATTATATTGATGCTACCACGATCAACTTGCATGACGTTCCATACTCTCCAACGACATTCAAATATATGGCCAAACGGATTGTTCGATTTGAGCAATTGAATGGGCTCATTTCCTACAGACATTCCGTATGGCTGCATATTGAGCTGAGCTATTTACAAATAGCTGGCTGTTTGATACATTTTGGTTTTGTGACTATCGAACCATGTAAATTTGTAAATAGCTCAGCTCGATATACAGTCACACGGAATGTCTGCTCTTTTGCAGAGAATCATTTCAGCATAGATATTCAATTTTCTGATGAGATCTCAGTAACTGAATGCAGTGACTACGAACGTCGCTGTGAGTAAACGAGCGCTCTACATTCAAGCGCGGACATACAAATACATTGGTTTACACACAATCGGAGTGAGTGTGCGTGCGAAAGGAGAGAAGAGAGGAGAGACGAACGAATTATGTCGCATTGAACGATGAGAGTGAACGTCTCTTGATACAGTGTCAGTGTGGCGAACACTTACTCTTTGTTTCTTGGAATTGTTGTTCCTTCTTCTTTTTCTTCTAACAAATTGATTGGCAGCAAAACTCAAGTAAAAAAAATAAAATTTTATAACAAAACACAATAACAAAATAATCAAATATTGTTTTGTTTATTTTTTTAATGTGATTTTTTTTGCTTGTGTTTGTGCTGCCAACCAATTTGTTAGAAGAAAAAGAAGAAGGAACAACAATTGCAAGAAACAAATAGTAAGTATTCGCCACACTGACACTGTGTCAAGTGGACATCGCTCGATGCAACACAATTCGTTCGTCTCTCCTCTCTTCTCTTCTTTCGCACGCACACTCACTCCGATTATGTGTAAATCAATGTATATGCATGTCCGCGCTTGAATGTAGAGCGCTTGTTCACTCACAGCAACGTTCGCAGTCACTGCATTCAGTTACTGAGATCTCATCAGAAAATTGAATATCTATGCTGAAATGATTCTCTGCTCTTTTGCTATTGAAGATGTTCAAGCAAACGCTAAGCGAAACATTTAAATCGAAGAAAAGACATTTTGAGATACAATGCCAAATGTGAAAATATTCGAGTCATTGTTCACTTGATATATTTTTGCCATCGAATAATTAATTTTTATGCATTAGTATTTGATGGGTTGGAATGCCAACAATTTAATTTTGTTTGATGAGTCAATAGTGAGAACAGCAGTCGCTCTACAACTGAATTTGGAACGAATCATTTCGAATTGATTTTTAGCGCTAGATTATAAAGTTGCACCGTGTATTAATTTCGATGAGATCACACAATATTCAATAGGTAACTCTTTTTTCCTTCATTATTCATTCATCGTCGCCTTTGTTTTGAAAACACAAAGTTCAATCGCAGTAAATTATCATTTAACACAACTTAAGCACAACGAAAGTGTTTCGAGTTAACGAAAATGTTCTGTGGGCAATTTGATAAATATATATACTCGATGACATAATGGCATGCATTAACGATTACCGGATGGACTAAAACAAAGCGATGTCGAAGAGAAAATAAAAAAAAGCGACTAATGTTGTAGCTGCTGATCCAGAACTTGTTTTATATCGATGCATATCGATTGGGAACGAATTAATATCGGAATATAAGTTGTGTCACCGGTGCTATTGTGCTTTACCTTATGTTCCTCCGTCCGTTTCTTCACACGAACATCCAATGCACATGTTTTGGATCCGATGCTGCCCATTGACGATTTTATCAACCGATTCGAAATTAACGTTTTAATTACGAACCATTTTTACGATTTCAGAACATCAACGAAATCACAATGCATCGTGTTTGAATAACAAGGAAACATCTTTTGTGGCTGGTTTATCGCAATGCTGAGCCCCAAACCGAATCGAATCGAATCGATGTTGCGTTTTGTCGACAAAACGATAAAATGGTAATAAATATGCGCAATTTGAATAGAATTTGGTGTACGTATACTCGTTGGCACCAAATATTAATCATTCACGTTATAAGCCCTTCGAGGTGCTGAATGATTGCATTGTGTAGGTGCGATGCCATATAAAAACCAATTCGTTTTGTTTTCACTTCTTGATATCGAATATAAAATGTGCACACCAAACACAAACACATTCGGTGCAGATGAGATTGCTTTGGCATCGTATTAAGAGTGAGCATCCAAATAAACAAACAAATCAACAAACGAATGAAACGAAAGAAAAGTAGGAAAAAAAGCCAATCAATTGGATTTCAATTTCTCTGCGGCGCGATAATTTGACTTATACACGTGCAATCGACCTTATGATAAAGAAAATCGATA